AGCCTGGAGCCCTCCAGGAGTGTCTGAGGAGCATCTGCCACAGGGCCCGAGCTCTGCTGGTCTCTGGTGACACTCTCTCCCGGCTCCCCAACTTAGAGACATGTAGGCCTCTGACGCTGTGAATTTTTTTTTATTTAAGTCCAGTCAGTTTACCATGTGTTGTCAGTTCCTGGTATACAGCATAATGTTTCAGTCACACAGGTACATATATATTTGCTTTCATATTCTTGTTTGTTATAGGTTACTACAAGACATTGAATATAATTCCCTGTGCTATATACAGTATAAACTTTCTGTTTATGTATTTTATATATAGTAGTTAGTATCTGCAAATTTCAACCTCCCAATTTATCCCTTCTTACCCACTACCAACACCCAGTAAACATAAGTTTGTTTTGTATGGGAGTCTGTTTCTGTTCTGTAAATAAGTTCATTTTTTAAAAAAGTTTCCACGTATAAGTGATATCATGTGGGTGTTTTTCTTTCTCTTTCCGGCTTCCTTCACTTAGAATGACCATCTCCAGGTTCATCCATGTTGCAGCCAATGGCATTATTTTATTCTTTTTTATGGGCGAGTATTTGATTCTGTGATTTAATGTGAATTAAAGTCTATCTGTCTCCTCAACCCCAACTTCATATATTATCTTGGTAGTTTACAATCTTAACTGAATGCTGGGTTCATACCTTTCTATCCCAAGGAAATGTTACCTAATTTTAACTTATTTTTCTAGTGCATCAATCTTGCATTTTAACTTGAAATCTCATTTGTTTTTTAAAGTTCTTCTCATCTGTTTTCAGATGTCCACTAATTTGTAGCATCCTTTGAACAGAGAAAGGAACCACAGGCCAACCTGTGTCCTACTCTCCTAATGTTGAAATGGCTTCAAACTTCCAAGGGAAAATTTGGGAAGTAGGATATTGCCTTTTTGGGGGTTGTAACAGAAGTCAAACATCACAGAGTGATTTCAAAGGACACCTGAGCCAGCCTCTCATACAGAAAATCACACAGGGGTCAGGGGCCAGGATCGGGGCTGGAATCCGTGGCCCTGGGCAGCAGAGGGTGTGCTGGGCCCCCTCTGACTGTGGTCCTGAGGGTAGTCCTCCAACCTCCTGGCTGGTCACCCAAGTGTGGCCACCCTCTCCAGCAGGTGAGCCACCTGACTGCTCCGAGGACAGCTCCTTCTCCCCTGTGTCACATTCCCTCTGTGACCAACCACACTCCCCATCCCTGTACCCATGTGAGGGACATCTAGCTGGCTGTCAGGACATCTCTGGGGCTGCACCTGCAGGATATCCTCTCTGCTGGGCCTGGTTCTGGATTTACATTCACAATGGAGGTCATAAACCACTTGATTAATTTACATTTGATCATTATCACTTTCAGCCCCATGATTGAGGGGCTGAGTCCTCCACAGTCCCTGAACGACACCACTGAGACCTCATTCCCTTTTTCTGTCCTTTGACCTGATGGTTCTTCCAGCAACATAATGGTCTGTTCTGGAAGACTTGAGGCTGTCAGGGATCATAACAGCTGTGGGGAGCTTTAGGATTGCCTGGCGGCCAGGTCTTCCTGTAACAGGCGCTGTAAACTCCTCATTTGAGGGGTACCACTGTTGGCCTTAACTTGGTAGTAGAAGCCTTACTTAGCCTGCTGGAACTCAGCAGCCCAGGAGCGCAGCTGAG